GCGGCTGCGATCTCATTACCGATTGGCCTGGTAATTGTTCGGAAATTATTCTCACTGGCTTCGTTAATGTGAACAATGCCCATCAGCTCGCATAACAAATTACTCTGCTCTTACAAATTCTCGGCCTTGACCAGAGTGAAGGAAGCTGATTGAACTTGCTACTGGACTGCCGGTTCGGAAGTCATATTGTAAGCAACTTGCGACTCATGTGATCGTTACCACTCCTGTAGATTTCCACATCGACAGAGCAGAAGATGTGGCCGGGTTCCCTCGAAACAGCGACGGCTTGAGAGTTGGCGCTATTTCGCCTCAATAATAACTTGATTTCAGTCATTTGGGTCTGGGGCAGTTTTTTCATTTCTCTTGTTTTGCACCTACCGCACCCGATTTGGCAAACGACTTTGGAGGTTCTGCTGGGTAGAACTCCAACTTCGAGTGGCTTGGGATCACGGGTAACGGTTTCCGAGGCGTTCTGGAAGTGAGAGAACGTACACCGGAATTTAAGGCCGATTTAATCATATTCGACCGGGGACTTTTGTACCCTAATGGTAATTTAGACTGCCTTTACCCATTCTCCTTTGAATGCTAGTCGGAAGACTGAATAGGATTTTCATGTGGTCTAGCAAAATAAGATGCCTGCGAATGCACTTTATGAAATGTCTAAAGGCACAGCTCGTTCTCAGAAGTCCACTTTTTACAACACACTGTCTCTTATTATTGTACTTGAAGAGCCTTCGTGCATGTATTTGGGTCCATTAGGTATATGCAAAATAAGAGGAATTCGAAAGACTTTTTTAAGAATAGCATAAATAAAATCCTGTTATAAGCATATTTATATCCAACTGAGAGGGTCTTCCTGGTCGCTATTGCCCTCGTAAGCGATATAACTAATTAAAATTTTCTTCCACTTCCAACACTAGAATTTCCACTGAAAGTCTTGCAAAATTCGGAATTTTTTTCCATATGAGTGATGGAAACATTTAATAGTGCATGCTATAACTCCTTGCTGTAAGTTCTTCTGTTAATTTAGACACTTAACAAGGTATATTTTTATTCCTTCTATTAGGCTTTGCAAAACGTCGACAATAAATTATGAAAAATGGTCACCAGATGGCTGTAGGAGAGACAAATTTGCTGTCTTCGCATCAAAGTGCAAAGATAACCGTGCTAGGTAAAAATCGAATGGAATACCCAAACATCCTACTTAATAACAGCATGGAGAACTAGTAAAGCATTGGCATGGACCAGAGAGGAGGTTGGGGGAGAAGCGAATTAGCATGAACTAACTGCCAGGGCTGTGCTAAGCCAATTACGTCATCCGTCCGCTTGTACAGTCGTGGTTATCTCCAGGGTTTGTCCTGGCCCCTAAGTGGCGTAAATGACAGGCGCCTCGGCGCGAGATAGTGTCCTAAACTTCAGCTTTGGAACTGTGGCGTGTCCAATAGTCGGCATGCGCTTTATGGCTGAACTTGCCAGCATACCCTTGTCTACTTTCAATACCACATTTGGGATGTTTTCGACCGGCCGAGTTTCTAAAAGCCTGTGCGCATGTCCACGGTATCTGCATCAGCGCATTTGTGTAAACTCTTAAACCGACTCGTAGTTGACATTTGCTGGGTAATTTTGAAGGACGGTGCTCACACTTCCGAGACTTGTTCCGTTGCAAATGCGTGTTGTATCTTTTTAAACGCGACATTAAAGGCTGATCATCTACAACGAGGGAGGACAGGATCAAGTTAACTGATAATATCAGTAAAGTGATTTATGGGTTCCTTTGAACTTCATCATGCACAATCAGAGAAAGTGGCGATTCCGAAGTAACATATCAGTATCTGCTGCCCATTCAGAAATCACAAGGTCGCCAGGCGTCTTAAGTGAGGGTACCACAGCGAAGATGAGCGGATGCATACATCGATTAGTATTACGTTCCAAGTTTTGCGATGGCCGTACCTGTTTGAACAAATAACGCACACCTCGGCTATACACACCATCTTTAACTGATTTTAGGAATGCTGATGTGGTTGTGAATGTAAGTACGGTGGGCTCATTGAAAGGCAGTTGTCATTTCGGTCGACCTGATACATGTAAAAATGAATTTTAATACCTCCAAACAAGGTTCTGCGAAGTACAGTAAGTAGTCCCTTGTTAGACGCCGGTTGCTCCATGGACCCAAGGATGGCGTCTATGGCCCACTTTTGCATTATACTAACCGTTGTCTCCCAGAGACCGCGGCAGTATGAAGGAACACATCATAGACGGGCTAACAGTCGAATCATACGATTAGTTACGCACTGATCTAGTACCGGACTCAAATTAATTTAACCCTCCCTCCTCTCGATAGTATACTCATCTTTAACTTGAATCCCCTCCCGATGTCATATGTCTAATGCTCGACCGTTTCATGCTGCTTTGACATATCAATCCCAACGTTGTGCAAATGGGTAAAGTTCAACGGTAGTTGAATGACGGGTCACAAAATTCGATGATCTCACTAATTTTTGTCGTCACCGGAACTTTGACCTCACTCAGATCTCTTTCGGGGGAAGAGTCTTTCAACATATGCACGAGTGGAAAACTTGCGTTGTTGTAATCATAATGGTCCGATGGATATAATTGTTATCTCAGCTAGTCCACCTGAGCAGGTGGTTGTCATCTTCGTCTGTAACAAATTCGTTATGATTATGCTCACGATAAGTCTTTAGAATACCATAACAATATGGGAGCTTTTTTACGACATTTAAGTTCATTCAGGGAACCAAATGCAGTTTCTTTCGCTGAATTCGGAAGAAACACTTTTCGACGTTGGATTTTAAACCAAGGGACGTCTGTGACGTAAAAATTTTAAAAACACAGTCCCATCCGAGGTCCACATATTTTCTAGGAATGTAAGCAGGCCACTGAGTTGGCACTCATTAAAAACAAGCAGCGTGCTGTCGTTAACATTTTACGGGGTACTTCTCCCTTTAAATAGTCGACGACTGGAAGCGCGTTGTGCGTAAAACAGTTCAAGTGGACATTGCACCTTCCACTGTAACCCCCCGCTAAATTTATACGCAAACGAGTTTTTTGTCCATGTAACCTATTACTTAAATAACTGGCTAAAAGGACACGAAAGGTTCTTACGAATAAAATGTACAGAATATTGGCTTTCACCGTTCTACGCTAATCTCAGGATGACAGGCAGAAGTTTCATTTGATCCTGGAGTTTTGAGGTAGAGTCCCCGCACTTGGTGTAAAATAATTATCGAAAAACACAGCACAGACTAGAATTGTCATGTCTACGTTCTTTTCCACCAAAACCGGGTCTACCGGCCTGAAGTTAAAATGCGGTTTGTCTACAAGGGCAGCCGCATTAGTCTTGCGCTGTGTCCTTCATGTCTCCGTTCTTTCGCATACTCTAATGCATACTCAAAAGTTTTTGACCGAAATTCACGAGAATCAACCTGCAACGATGGCATCCGAAATTGATAGTTTAGACTACCACAGGAACCTCGGAATATTGTATGAAGCCACGCGTACTCGTTAGAGAATCTCTCATTCTAAATGAAGCCCATTGGGTTTTCAACCTTTCACAGATTGGCTTGATTGTCTGCTGTCGGAAGGTTGAGGCAACTAGTGTCCTGGGTCGAGCTATCACTCGAGACTTATTCTTAATGGCTTGGGCGAGAGGTGATATGCCGGGTAGCTAGATGAGCTAGGAGGGGAGGTAACACCTCGTCTAGTCCAACCTTGACAGTCTAATTATCCCGGAAGATGATGCCCACCGTGTGCCCCTCACTATAGCGGGCGTAGGAAGAATGTCCTGTGAGTGAATTCGTTTGTAGTGACAGCAAACTTACTCCACATTGACATCATTCTCTCCTCTCTTAGATACCTAGATCGAGCGTCAAGAAATAGTCAAGAAGACTAGAGGCGGAATCGGACGCGCTGGCTGACAAAGCTTTACAGTCCGCCTTCGTATGCCACACACGCCTAGTCCGCGCAGGATAAACCAGGTCTGCACAGAAACAAGAAGGGAGGTTGCTCGGATTCCACCTGAGAGGAGGTGCCATTCAAACCAATTTAAGAGGGAACCATTGTAACTTAACTCTGTGTCTTGAGAAGATCGGGTTATCTTGTCATTCGGCATTCTTCCAAGCTACGGATTTAGCGCACCATGACAGTTGAAAAGCGCGTCAGGTTGTTTATTAGAGAGGAATATGCGCTAGGCGCCGTGGGGACGGCGTTCATGGAGTCGACTTCACTCTCTCTTCCATCTCCAGGGCAACAAATCCAGTGGCTGATTCGGGGCTTGGGTGCAGTGACCGACGTAACTAAACAGCCCCCTGAGTGTGTTCCCCACGACCTGGGTCCCGCATAAGGCACCAGGTTTTCACGCAGGCGGGGTGGGTGACTCGTATCTCTCATCCATGCGAGTGTCATACAAGCCACCTTTAGATGGGGCTATGGAGACGGACACTTAGTCCTCTATTTAGCACTCCGCACACACAGGGCTAACTGCGAGATCTGAGTTATACTTAGAGTTGGCAGCCTTTCAAGCCATGGTGTTTAGCGCGTCGCGATAGATTCAAGCGCTTCAGATTTATTATGTGCTGAAGTGCCATAGGGACAGAGTTCCCAGAGTCGGTCTCACTCACTCCTTCCTCTCCCACGCACCAGTCGACTGACCGAGCTTGGCGGCCATCTGATACCGGGGTGGTGCTGTGAGTGGCAGAACTGAGGGAGCCTGTCCGCGTGTACCACATACGACCTGGTTTGGCACCAGGTTGTGTCAAATAACACGCTTCCCACTTACGTGAGAGGTGCGTATTCCGTGAGTGCGGTCGGTGTGAGGCGGGTCCATGTGTGGTGTGTAGACTGGTAGGGAGATGCGTGACGATGGGGTTTGGTCTGCGTTTTTTACCGCAGATTTTCATGGGGGCTCATATGGTGGAATAGGCCCATCCGGTGACTGAATGTGCCCTGACAGTGTGGACAGTTGAGTTGAGGACTCTGGTTCGCTAGCACCAGTGCGACTGATGTACAGGCGACCGACCAGGCCGATGCGGGTTGTGAAGATGCGGTCGAAATGAGGACTGGCTGGGATTGGGTCGGCATTGCTGGTAGTGCGGGACGGTGCTGGTGGCGGTGAGGATGGTAGCTGCCGCGAAGTTGGGAGTGCTCCCATTGGTGGTGGAAGTCTTTGTCTTCGTCATCGTCGTCGCGGGGGTTGTTGCAGTGATGATGGGGACGGTGGCGGGCGACGGCAGCAGTCGAGGATGGGGGGTGTGCTCGCCGATGCTGGTCTTGGTCCTCGTCGAGGGCGTCATGGGAATTGCGACAGGGGTGACGCTGAAGGCGTTTGGGGAGGCAATAACTGAATTGTCGCGTTGCTGTTAGATTGGGTCCAGAAATGTGCGACAAGGCCAAACCGCGCACGAAAGCCTCATTGAGAGCGTTAACATGTTGATAAGGGTTGGGTGTTTCAAGTCGTGAGTTCTCGGTGCTTGGGATTTGCAGCCATCATTCTTTCTTTGGAAGCGGCAATCCGGTTAGCTTCTTAGTTTGCTGATCCACTCTTTGCTGTCCTCCAGGGCGGCCGATCCTGAACAAGGTCCTCCCAGGTCTCCGGATTTATTTGTAGCTCCTTGAGGGATGTCAGGATGGCTTTATAGCTTTACTTTTGCCCTCTTTGCCTGCGAACATCTCCCTAGCGTCGTCTTGATGGAAGAATTGTTTCGG